TCTTTCTTTCTTTCTTTCTTTCTTTCTTTCTTTCTTTCTTTCTTTCTTTCTTTCTTTCTTTCTGAGATAGGGGTCCACTGTATAGTTTAGGGAGGACTTGAACTCACGATGAAGCCCAGGCTGGCTTCAAACCTGTGGCAATCCTCAAATGCTAGAATTCTAGGAGTGTGACACCACACCTGGCCTGTTATAGTTTTTGCTTAATTCTTAACCAGGAATTCCCTTTCTCCCAGTACTGAGGATTTAACCCTAGGCCCTTTCACTGAGCTATATCCCCAACCACTTTTAAAGACAGAATGTTGCTAGGTCACCCAGGCTCGTCCTGAACTTGTGATCCTCCTCTGTCAAGAAATTTTTTGGAGACAGCGTCTTGCCTAATAGCCCAGACTGGCCTCAAATTCTCAGCAACCCTCCTGTATCCCCAGTGATGGGAGAACAGGCATGCACCACCAAGAAAAATAGATATTATATTATGAAAATAGAATGGTTTTCTTTTAAAACTTGAAGCATATCAAAACATCACACTGTACTCCCAAATGTATACTGTCATGCACAATTAAAATATATATATATATTTTTTTCAGAACCGGGGATTGAACTCAGGCTCTTGCACTTGCTAGTAAACAAAAACTTTAGTGAACAAAAACTTCACTGAGCCATCTCCCTGGCCCCTTAAAATAAAATTTTAAACTCAAACGCAGAAATGGAAAAGTAAAAGTGTCTCCCCTTGCAATCTCATCCGTGAGACTATTAATACTGTTTCATTCCAGTTATATAAAACACAACATACCCAGATCTAAACAATAATTTCATAAGGCCAAATGCATTTCGGTGTGTTTATATTCCCAACTCTTGAGGAAGCTGAGACCAGAAGATGAGCTGGGCCTAAAAGTTTTAGAACAGCCTGGCTTTATGGTGAGACCCTGTCTCAAAAACAAACCAGAATAAAACAAAACACGTGGAAACAGACTGCATGTGTTTAATATACCTTTTAAATTCAACTGTATTCCACCGATATCTTCCAATATTAGTGTACAGACCTGTAATTACCCTTTTATTGGGTTTATGCTGGTCTAACATAGATGCACTATAAATTTATTTGACAAAGCCCATATTGACTAAGGAATTAGATTATTTTAAATTGTTGCACTTAGAAATCACATTGCAGTGAACACACTGATAATTTCTGACTACATTATTGGGAGAGGTCAGTTTCACTATGTAGTCCAGGCTGGCTTCGAACTCTCAATCCACCTGTCTCAGCCTCATGCAGGGTTGACAGGAATATGTCATAATGCCTGGGCTCACTTTTTTCTTTAGATAAATCCCACGAACTAGAATGCTATAGCCACAATTCTGACATGTGACACCAGACTGCCTCCAAAAAGCAATCATTTCTCCATAACCTTCAATGACCACAAATCTATCATTTTTAAAAAGTATTTGGCAATCTTTGAATTGAAAAAAATGTTTTAATGTGCCTTTGTTTTTAGTGAAGCTGAAGTTTTTTATGTGATAATTTTCTATTTCTTATCCTTTTCTATTTCTTTTTCCTTTTCCTTTTTTTCTAATGAGGTATCTGCCTTTTCTTACTAAATGCACAGGAGCAAATACTTTTCTTCAGCTTGACATCTGCCCTTTAAAACTGTGCTACTTTTTAACATAGAATATAAAATTTGTGTATTCAAACTATTCAATTTTTTTTAAGGCTAGGAAATTTCTTGTCATTTAAAAAAAATGTGCCAAAAAAAAACAACAGAGAAGAGGATCAAGAAATGTAATCACGTGTTTATTATACACATGCACCAACTCCCTACGAGGAAGGAAAACATTATGTACCAATAAAGAAAATGACAAAAAAGTGAGCCTCAACTTAATGCTCCAATTCCAGGTAAAATTTAAGTTTTAAAATTCAATACATAGGGGACATTGCTCTGTGGCACAAGTGCCTGTCTGGAAAGCACAAGGTCCCAAGTTTGATGATGATGATGATGATGATGATGATGATGATGATGATGATGAAGAACAAGAAGAAGAAGAAAGACAAGAAGAACGAGAAGGAGAAGAAGAAGAAATAAGTAAGTAGCATAAGGCAAAGAAGACAACACAGTTCTTTGCCAACAACAACAACAAAAAAATTCACCATGGTTGAACTTGTCTATTTTACTTAGGATTCTAAGTGAAAAGCAGCAACTCTAAGGTGCTAGTCTAATATCTATTTTCTTTAAAAAAATTATAAACATGTATTAAAAAGTGAAGTTTTAAAAATATATTGTTCAGTGGAGCCTTTGGAAAAGCTGTAAAGGGAAATGTTTAAAATAACGGCAATCACACAGTTCTATCTCATTCCCTTAGTAATTAAAGAATCTTTTTTTTTCTTTTTTTAATAAAGATTCTTTTTGTAGGAACCTCGCTAAATTGTAAAAATCTCCTTTATACGTCATTTGGGGCTTCTAGCTAGAACAAAAAAATGGGCCAGACTCAAAGGCAAAGAGAGCTACTCTGGCAAGGATACAAACTCTTAATCCTATCAGAAGTCAGAAATCAATATTAATCTAATTAAGACACAAAGAAACTATTATGTCCACTGTCCCTGTAAAACCTTTTATTTCAAAATCTAGTAGTACCTAGATGAGTAGTATAAAATAACATTCAGAATACAGCACAACAGTTAACCAACCAATCTCAAAGAAAACATCCCCAATGAGAACCTAACTTTCCTAGCCCCTATACCACACTGAGCCCTTGCCTTTCTCTCTCAAGGGAGGCAGGTTCTGCCAACCAACTGTGAACCTGTCCTGAGCAATGACTGGACACCTATTCTTTGTCCTTGGAAAACTTGCCTGTAATTTCCCAGTTTGACCCAAACAATCTGTTTGTAATGCAGTTTCTTGCCAGCTTTACAGTCATTACAATTCCAGCAGCCTTCTGGCGTATCTATGTTCAAACATTCCGGATGAAAGGAAGCTGGGCAGGATTCACAGCAGAGCAGTCTTCCACCTTGAAACAAACAAACAGTCTTAATAATTGAGAAATGAGGACATAGAACAAAAGTTATATTTTAAGTGCAGTGAATTTTAATTGAAATTCAGGAAAATCAAAGGGATTGAGTCATATCTAGAGTACTGGATTAAAAAAAGTGAAATATTTAACCACATTTAGACTTCAGTAGCTATAAACTTAGAGCTTTGGAGTGCTACCAAAACAGTGCTATAAAATGTGAACTACTGTATCAGTTTAGCAAGCAGCTAACAACTATTAATATACAAGCTTTAAATTATTATTATTTTTTTTTTTTGGGTACAGGGTCTTGCTACACAACTTGGACTTGCAGGGATCCTCCTGCCTCAGCTTCCCTGGTGCTGAGATTCCAGGGTGCACCACTATGCCCAGTTTTGGGGTCAGCACAGTGTACACAGCATCTGGTACCAGGGATCAAACTTGGGAGGGGCCTGGTCCTTGCACTTGCCAGGCAGGCGCTTAGGCTGCCAAGCTATCTCTCCAGTCCCCAACTGCTAACATATAACAAGATGAATGCATAAAATCTTTACACTGAGCAAAGCTTGGTGGTGCACACCTATAATCCCAGTACTTGGGAGACTGAGGCAAGAGGATTGCTTCAAGTTCGAGGTCAACCTGGGTTACACAGTGAACAGAAGGCTGGCCTGAACTACATCAGAACACTCTGCCTCAAGCAAAACAAAAACAAATAGCCAAAACAACAACAAATTTTTACATTGAATAGATTATTTTTCAAGAAAGTAAGCAATTTTCTTTTCTTATTCAGAGGTAAGAAACAAAGCAATAGTCATCTTTGTATTTTAATCCAGTACCAGTTAACCAAATCCCTTTACAACAAAATTAGCAAGAATGAAAAAAAATAAAAAGGTTGAGCTGGATTTTTGTTTTTCTCCATACAAAAGAATACAAAAATCAAAAGGAACATAGAGTCTCAAACTAGTGATTATAGTATCATTACTTTTTCAGGGAAAAAAAGACAAATAGGCTATACAGCAGTGGTTTGCATTTTCCTCTCCTGTACCATTCCTCATGAACCAACATATTGTTAAACATTGTATCAACCCCCCCTATTTTATTAGTCAAAGAAATATGTACCTGTCAATCAAAGATTCTGATCCAACAACAAGACAATTACTATACTGTATAATTAAAATCATAGTCCAATATAAAGAAACTCATTTTGCACAAATGTGATTCTGTTAAAAGTTCCAAAACAATTCAACAATTTTGAATTTACCTTTTCTGACTTAGTATCAAGAACCACTGCTTTATAGCACAAAATAATTATCAGTGAACAGTGAAGTACCATATGTAAGGGTATCTGTCCAAGTTCCCTGTCTAAACCCTCTCCTTTTAACTATACAAAATAATCTTGGGATTAATGCCAAAACAGGTGTAGCAAACAAAATAATATTTTTAATTGTAAAGAAATAACAGGTTTTTGGGGGACAAGCGGGGATGATTATAGGTATGTTTCAACAAAGTTAAGTACTCAACGTGAATATAATATAAACATTTATTTCATTTATCTTTTGTTAAATTATGTCCACACACCCACAAGTATATTTTGTTAAATTATGTCCACACACCCACAAGTATATTGAGAGTTAAAGTCTCATAAAAAAGACTAAGAGCACTCATACAACTGGATCAAATGACATGCTCTAACTTTGGGAGGGTTTGCTATCAATTTTCCAGAAAATCTTATCTTCCTATAGACTTTCAAACTAACAGATTAACATGAAAACAAAAAGAGAACAATCTATACATATCCAGTATATACGTTACTACATTACATTACTATATTTCCTCTGCTTAAAAGCTTTGACTTCAATCATCAGCATTTTTCCTTTTACTGCAGATACAAATATGGATTTAGCAGGTTCAATTCTCCAGTCCTGAGATTAGCTGCCTGAATGCTCTAAGCCTAGGTAAGGGATTCTTTTGTACATTTAAAGCAAAATGAGATTATTCATTTTTTCATTGAAAAGGAACGACCAAAGGGAGAACAGTCTTTGTAAACAGTTTTAGAGGACATGTGATTAGAAGCACTGATGTGGAAAACTCAGGTCTGTCATTTTCAATATTACTGAATGGTTCTACATTTTAAGTCTATTTCAGAGGAAATACAGAGCCAGAATCATCCGTGAAAATCATCACGATAAATATGTTAAAATATGCAGGGGTATAGAAAAATTAAAGTATGATGATTTGCCTTGGTGCTGTGCAAGAATACTATTTTAGGATGCAAGAGAACATATGGTTCAAGCTAGGCAGAGGGCTCAAAATAATTTCAATGTGTGTCAAGATTAATACTGACTGCTGAAAATAAAGCAACAATTTAACCTTTGAAGGGTCTGCTATCAACTTTTCAGAAGATCTTACCTTCCTGTAGATTTTATAAAGGTGCTAACAGGAAAATAAAACACTTCCTAAAATGCCTCAGATAGACTAACTTTATTGCATTATGGAATAAATCAGATCTATGCTCATTTTTGTTTTAGAAGCAGGTGACATCACCAATAAGATGATCAAATCACCAATTTGATTTCAAGGGAAAATAAATCAATACTTTTTGCAGTGTTTCTAATAGGTTCTAATTAATTTGTTTAGTTATACTTGAATTATGAGTTGCCACAAGGAGCAAAGAGCCATCAAACAGGCAACACAAAAAATGGAAAAAAAAAATTCAAAATAGCTAGTATATCTACATGCTACATTATGAATGAATTTTTCCTTATAGATTCTGCACCTGGCCCTCAGATGGTAATGTGAATGTATACAGAAAAAGGCCTTATCTTCCATGCTCACTGAATTTTTCTTCTGGTATAACTCCTCAAATAACCTACCTTCCTTTCCTTTCCTTTCCTTTCCTTTCCTTTCCTTTCCTTTCCTTTCCTTTCCTCTCCTCTCCTCTCCTCTCCTTCCCTTTCCCTTTCCCCTTCCCCTTCCTCCCTTCCTCTCTTCCTTCCTTCCTTCCTTCCTTCCTTCCTTCCTTCCTTCCTTCCTTCCTTTTTTTTTTTTTGAGACAGGGTGTTGCTAGTCCAGGCTAGTCTTCAACTCACTATGTAGCTCAGGCTTCAAACCTGTGGCACTCCTCCTGCCTCAGCCTCCCAAGTGCTGGAATTATAGGCATGAGCCCAATGCCCAGCTCAAATAACATTATTGTTAAGTCATTTTGCCCTCTTTACTACAAATAGGCTATGGAAAGCTAAACAGGATAAAGTTTTCTTCCACAGACAAAATTAATTCAGAAAATAGATATATATCTAGCCACACATACATTTAACTCTTAACTCTCTGTGGGTAAATTCTCCATCAGCGATTCAGCTGGGCTGCCTTCTAATACCAGTTTGGGGGATTCCTCATACCCCATTTTTCCACTAAAATTTCCTAAGGACAGGTAGTTTTCATAGGATCTTAAAACATTTAAGAAACAAAATGACAGAACATACACTAAAACCAAAGTTGTAAGTACTATATACATAGGTTTCTTTCTTTTAATAACATTTTTAATTGATGGTTATAAATTATACCATATCTATTTTATTCTAACAAGAATGATAGTTTTACTTTAGGGAAAAGAGAAAAGTACTTAAAATATATATTTTTAATATTCAACAAAATCCTAGTTTTTATACTATTTCAATAACCTAAATATATGGAAGGTGTGAAAATTTATTCAAGGAGAAAAGGAAAAATTTATAATAATGAATTATTTTAAGCCCTTTTTTTATTGTTTTGCAGCCATAGGAAAATACAGTCACAACCACCAAGGCAGAATTTACCAAAAGCAACAGATGGTGCTCAACAGCCATATACTTCCCCCTTCACTTAAAGAGAAAAAATAGGAAATGCAAAAATCAAAGCAAGGATAAACTATTTCAATTATTACCTTTCTCACATTTCTTTTTGGAAGCTGACGAAGAAGGAATCATAGGTAATTTCATCAACTCAGCACGATTTGATTCATTCAGTAGGTAGTGGGACTTATAGGCATAGGAACTGAACATGGGGTCTGAATGGTCCTGAACTATCAGCCCTATACAAAACAAACAGAAAGAGATGAGCTTCAATGAAACTACCCATGATTCCATGAGGAGAAAAATAAATCAATACCTATAATGCAGTTGTGCCTTAAAGCTGGGTGTCGGGACAAGAAAAAGAAAAATCTAACCAAAAAGCTTTCTGCAATTATTAAAGGGAGGTTGAACTACTTGATTCCTTATCCCTAACAGAAACTTCTATGCTGCAGAAGAAAATTCCAAATAACTTGAAGATGTATGTGGCATTTCACATCATATTGAAAATTTCCTAAGATAAACAAAGCTGTGTTCCTTAACATTTAGCCATACTATGAAGGCAACCCAGCAAAACAAACTGTTATTTGGTAATCTAGAAATAAGACTCATTTACATAGCACAGGCCCTAATCTCTCTACCACATATGAAACAAAACTTCAAGACAGAACTGAATCTCTTTTATCTGTCAATATCTTGAGATATACTCAAATTCTAGCTTTCTCTGCCAGGTAATGAAACCTTTCCCTACTGACACAGTAGATGACTTTAACGGAGCCATATCTTCCTGAACTTTAATGAAGTAATGTAAAGCATTTAAATTCTTTCCCTGTCACAATATAAAGCGATTACCAACTTAAAGGTTCACTGTAGTCCCTTTGATCTACCAGTACAGCTCTCCTATTTGGAGAAAAACATAAAACACTTATGGACCCCCTTTCTCCTCCTATTCCCTTTCTTTTGCTAAGTTGTTCATGATTCACTGTAAGTCACTTCTGAACCCATGACTATAGACTAAGGGAAGTGTAATCTATCTTGATTACTAGCCAGTTTATAATGATGTAGGTTTTTACAACACAAATCATAACAGCAATTTCACTGAGATATTTTTGAGTGGGAAGTTTCATTTCTAAAAGGGTTGCCATTTACTTTCTCCTGTGGGCCTTATTTTCATGTGATGCTGCCCTCCACTGATGCAAAGTCAAGGAAGGTCCCTAAACCGAATGACAGAATAAGACTTAGAATTGCTAGGGGTGGCCAGATAGCTCAGTGGACTAAAGTGCTTGCTTAGGAAGGCGCAGGGACCAGGGTTCAGTCCCCAGTGTGTTGTGCTGGCCCCAGCCCTGCCCCCAGGGTGCACTGAGAAGCAAGTGAGACTAGGCGTGGTGGCGCGCACCTGTAATCCCAGTGCTTGGGAAGCTGAAAACAGGAGAATCACTAAGAGTCCAATCTGTGTAGTGAGACCCTGAAGACACTGTACTAAGTACAGAAAAAAGAAAAATAAAAGACTTAGAATTGCTAATAACATAAGAAACTTCTAAGAAAAGTAATCTATTGTCAAAATAAATTATACATATAAATAATATATATAAATAAATTTTTATATATAAATAAAATTTTATAGAAGGAGGTGGTATAATGTAAAACAAACAAAAAAACCACATAAGCTTTGAAGTAAGAAAAATTGGAAACAACTGCAGGTTCCTTGATGTCACAGCTTAATGTGAGCTTTGGTGTGCTCATCCATATAAAATGGAGAAATAACCTCTTGGACAGTTCTTTCAAATAGTATCCAGCAGAGACTGATTTACATGTGTAAAATCAATTGCTATTATTGCTATTAAAATGAAAACTAATCTATGGCTGGGGCCTCATTTAAAATTATGATTACACAGAAAGGCACAGAATGTTAATTAGCCTATCTTATACCACCTACTACATGGGGAAATAAATAATATACCACACTGACAAAGTTCCACCTTCTCCTATTTGTGTTTCAAGTTGGCTGTGTGTGTGAGAGAGACAGAAAGAGAGAGAGAGAGATTGAGAAGAAAGAGAGAGCTGGAGAAGAAACCATCTATCTATCTATCTATCTATCTATCTAGTCTTTTTGAAACTGGATTTCGCTATGCAGTTTGGGCTGGTCTTGAATTCACGTTGTATCCCAGGCTGGCCTTGAACTTGCAGCAATCCTCTTGCCTTAGCCTTCCAAGTGCTGGGATTATAGGTGTGTACCACTACACCCAGCTATCCCTAAAATTTAAAAACTATAATATATTTTTATTTTTTATTTTTTATTTTTTTTTTTTGTGGAACTGGGTATAATATATTTTTAGATATTTTGATCTTTAAGAGAAGTTTAATAACCTTAAACATCCAATAAGCAAGAACTAAGAAAAATCATTCATGAGAAAAAAATTTTGTATGAAGAAAGAAGCAAAATAAGCCAAGTTTTCTAAAATGAAAAAATTACAGTATCTATTTTTGTATAGATATTAGGGTTAGGTCTCAGCCTGGGGCAACAGCGAGACCATCTTAAAATAATAAATAAATAAATAGGGCTGAGGATGTTGCTCAGCACTTACAAAGTTCAATCCTCAGTATTCCCCCCAAAGGTGATCTCAATACTTACAGAAGGACACACATTATTTACTTTTAAAAGACTTGATATATTGGGCAGCCCAGATAGCTCAGCGGTCTAAAGTGCCTGCTTAGGCAGGTGCAGTGACCGGGGTTTGGTCCCCAGCATGCTGTGCTGGCCCTGCCTCCAGTGCACACTGAGACAGTGACAGACTGGGTGTGGTGACATGCACCTGTAATCCCAGTGCTTGGGAGGCTAAAAATGGGAGAATCATTACGAGTCCTATCTGTGTAGTGAGACCCTGTAGACCCTGTACTAAATACAAAAAAAAAAAAAAAAAAAAAAGACGAGATAAGCCAGGCATGTTGGCATATACCTATAACCCCAACTCTCAGGAGAATAAGGCAGGAACACTGTCATGAGTTTGAGGCCAGTCTGAATTGCAGAACAAAACCTTGTCTCAGGAGAGAGAGAGAGAGAGAGAGAGAGAGAGAGAGAGAGAGAGACAGACAGAGAGACAGAGAGAAAGACAGACACAGACAGACAAAGACAGACTGACCAACCGACCGCCTGACCAACACTCAGACAAAAAGGACTTAATTTAAACCTTGTCAGATGCTGGGTGAGGCCAGCCTGTGCTACATAGTGGATTCAAGGCCAACTTGAACTACATGGGGAGACCTCACCTTTAAAAAAAATGTAAATTAAATAAAATTCCTTACATAGGCATTTAAATACAATAAATATCTCATAATACTTTTCAAATTTATAAGATACAAATATGGATTCTGTTTTTAAAACATAGGATTATTTTATATTATTATGTTATATTATTCCCAAGCTTTCAATCAAGAGATACAAGTTAAATTTAACAAAATGACTGGGAGTTTCTGTTAGTGAATCACTTCCTATCTATTCTTAAATTGAAATACCTGTTGGAAAAAGTTCTCAATTACTGAATGAAATACAACTAAAGAAAATACTGGTCAATATACTGATAGCACTGAATTTAGAATGTACCCCCCAAAATAAGTCATTATATAGTTACAAACTCAAGGTTCAAAATGTTCACTAAATTACTTTTCTTTCTTTTTTTTTTTTTTTTTTTTTTTTTTTTTCAGAACTGGGGATTGAACTCAGGCCCTTGTGCTTGCCTGGGAAGCACTTATTCCACTGAGCCATCTCCCCGGCCCACTAAATTACTTTTTAAAACATCAAAACAAAATAAAAATGTTGGCTAAATTAAATGTGCTTACACATTGCCAGTATAAGTATCTAGGAATGGTAGCAAGGATTGCAAAATGATAAGAAACTTTATGTTATCACTGCTACTCAACTCCGTCTTAAAGTCTCTAAAGCTAAGCATTCAATTGATAATTCAACAATTTTGTCCTATCATTACCTTCTTTAGGAAGGGTAGGAAGGCACTAGGGTGGCTTTCTATTTATTTTTATGTCATCATTGGCCTTTATTAATGCTTTCTGTTACTGTAACAATGTGGTGCATCCTCCATCCCCAGCCAGACCTTAGAACAAGGCACAGTGTTACTGCCTTGCTGCAGACAAAGCTGTCTACTTCAGTGCCAGCCACAGACCCAGCCTATCTCTTCTAAGCTATTTGTTGAAAACAAAAATTGCAAAAGTAAAACAACCTAAGATCTGAACTCTAGAAATATTTTTATACTACTTTTGCCAAATTAACTGTCTCTTTTTTTTTTTTTTTTTTTTTTTGGTGGAACCAGGGATTGAACTCAGGCCCTTGTGCTTGCCAGGGAAGCGCTTATTCCACTGAGCCATTTCCCCGGCCCCAATTAACTGTCTCTTGAAGCAAAAAAAGAAAAAAAAAAAAAAAACAAAACCACAAGAAAAAAGGCTTAATTCTCAGTATTATTTATAACACAACAGGCATGATTATGCCTTAGAGTCTTTCAAAATAAGTCTTTCAAATAATACTTCACAACAAGTAAGTTGAAGAAATTTAGCACTTATATTAAAGACAAAACAAGTGCTGGGAATGTATGCACAAGAACCTGCCTGGCAAGTCAAGGTGCTGAATTTGATTCCCAGTACCAACATCAAAAACCAAAAAAACAGAAGTGGTACATGGGGATATACGAGTTGGCCTCTGTAATGCTTACTAATTATTAAAAAAAAAAAAAAAAAAAAAAAAAAAACCCAAAAAACCTCCAACGTTTCATTATCATCAAACCCAGTTTGTAAAGCTGGACACCACGCCACACTTCACCAAAGACATCCTATTTTATGTGTACCACACACTTGGATTCACTGCCTGCCTGCCCTCAGGGACTGGGTATTATTCTCAGTTAATCAATGTCTTGGTGGACTTAAGAATCAACTGCTGGCAAGTAAGAAGCCTGCACTGTCGATTTTTCACTGGCCCACCACATATGATGCCCTCTTGATGCCAGAGCAAAACATGACATACAACACAAACGATCAAAAAATGAATGTGCTAGTCTTGCCTTTTATGTGAAATCTCAATCAGCTGAAAGTTTTGGATTAATGATGATGATGTGGAAAGATCTATTTCAAGTAGAGAAACTTTATAAAAGAGAATAGATTAATCTTTTAATAGAAAATTAGTAAACTGAAAAAACATTTATCTGTAATTGCAAGTTATATTTGTAAATGCAGATTTTAGTTCAGCTTATAGAAGAACAAATATTTTAACAATTTAGAGGTTTAACATTGTAAAATAACAAGGTACTAAAAATGGTGATTTCTCTCTCTCTCTCTCTCTCTCTCTCTCTCTCTCTCTCTCTCTCCATTTTGTACCAGGTATCAAACTCTGAACCATGCACATCAGCACTGGATGGGACACTGTACTAGATAGCTTGGGAAGATTAGCATCTTCTAATGCTAAAGCTCATCTTAATAGAGAAATCTGCTAAAGAAATGAAAAAGAAATAGAAAGGTTTGACACTCACCTCTGGCACAAACGAAACAAAAGCCTACATTTACAGCAGCAGCAGAATTGTTGCTCCGCTTGGAATGATCACTACAAATGAGAACGTAGGAGGATACAAATACGCTTCCTGCAGCAATACAAGCATCTGCAGAGTGATAGGCAACTGGACATCTCAAACATTTCATCATGCGTCCTGTTTGAAAAGGAGACAAAAAGCAATTTGCACACTAAGGCATCAGCTGGACATGAGATTTTGGAGTTGGGTTTTTCTTGGTTGCCATACAACACTAGTTACAGCAATAGTAAAATACTTTTTTCTTAACTAAGCTGGTTCTGTGATTCCTATACTATATGGTTCCTAAATAAAGCCTAAAACTCATTTAGAAGGATGTGTGTGGTGGTGCATGGCTGTAATCCCAGCACTTGGGAGGCTGAGATAGGAGGAGTGCTGTGAGTTTAAGCCCAGCCTGAGCTACATAGTGTCTTCAAGGCCAGCATAAACCACATAATGAGACTCTGTCTCAAAACAAGAATCATCATCATCATCAACATTTAGAGATCACACAAAGAAAACTTGCTCTAATGCTGGAGAGATAATGATATTCCCAATATAGCACCTGCCTAAGGGATTTTCCATATGTAGTTTTGAACATATAGAATTTTCTTGTCATGGTCTGAATTTGCAACTTGTTACTTAACATGTTGTCTACTGCAGTTGAACTATTAAACCTAGAGAAAAGAGAAATGATCAAAGTTGTTTATAACTACATACCTAATACATTATTTGCCATGGTACTTTACACAAAACATCACTCTGTCCTTCTTTAGCTGTGTTACCTTTACTTGCTTTGTGGATATCTTTCTCCATAGAGCAGGCAGAGCAGCAGTGCTGGGGACAGCGGAATCCCTTTGATTCAAAGATGGCAGAGGAGAATTTTCGGACACAGGCTTCATGATAAAACTTTCCACAAGCACCAACAGAACAACGTTTTACATCTTCACCAGGCACCTTACATGAAAAACATGGATGCTGCCCTGGAAGATTGGTGAGAAACAGAGAATGAATGAAATATGCAAGCATATTCCCTGCAGGGAGAAGCAGCTATAGACATCAAAGAGCTGCTCAGGAAAGAGACTCTACTATTAGATGTAAGAATTTAACATACAAGAGCCAGTTGTGGTGGGGTGCATGGCTGGAATCTCAGCACTGAGGAGGCTAAAACAGGACAATCCTATGAACTCCAGGACAGCCTGAACTATAAAGTTGAGACTCTGTCTCAAAAACAACTAATGTCTTAGTTACTTTTCTCTCATTATTGAGAGAAAGTACCTGACACCCAAAGCTAATGGAGGAAAGTTATATTTGGCACACAGTGTGTACAGGTTTCAGTCCATAACCAGATGGCTCCAAAACAGAATGGCATGGCAGACAAACACTGCAGAGAAACAGTTCATGGTAAGCAAAAGGTACCAAAGCAAGCAAGGGACCTTAGCAGATTTTTTCTGCTCTTTCATGCTCTTTCTAGGCTACTGGACATAGGGCAGGCAGGAGCTCTGCTAAGCCAACCCCATCACACTGTCCCAAGGGTCTTGCTGACTAATGACATACCCTCCACTATTGTTGCTGCTGAGACTTGGTGAACACTGAAAGCTTCATAAATGCCAAAAGGAAGAAGCAAAAGGCAGTCTCAGACCTCTGGCCCATGCAGAACAAGTCCAGGAGATAAGATCACACAAGAATTAGGAAATCATACACCTGAAATTTCTGAAATGATAGCAACTGAAGTAAAGAAACAACTCCATCAGGCTATAAAAGAAATCAGATCAGAAATAATTTCTCAGGTAAAAAAAGAAATGACAATCATGAAAGAATTGATCAGCACATCTAAAGAAGACAGATAAAAACATAGGAGAATAGAAAAATGATGGAAACATTGAATAAACAATGTAGGAAAGAATGAGATTGCATGAAATAGATTCAAACAGATATCCAGGAATTTAAGAGTTCCATTGAAAGCTGGCAAAACCGTGTGAACAAAACTGAACAAAGACTTTCAGACCTTGAAGACAGTATTGAAGCTAGGAATCACAAAAGGAAATATCTCTTAAAATTAACAAGGAACCAGGAAATAATTCAACAGGTACAAGATGATGACAAGAAAAACATTATAAAAATGACAGGTGTCAATGAAACAGCAGGACATAAAAAGACTATTTGCAGAAGTAGCAGCAGCAGGAAATTTCCTAAGCATGGGAAAAGAATCTGACATACAGCGAAGTGAGGCATACAGAACTCCAATTAGCCATAGTCAAAATAAATCTAGACCCAGACACATAATAATCAAGATCTCAAAAATTCAGCAGAACGGAATATTAAAAGCTGTTAGAGAAAAAAACAAAAACAAAAACCAGATGGAAAGCCCATTAGAATCACGGCAGATTCCTCAACACAAACCATCGAGTCAAAAACAACCTGGAGTGAAGTATTTCAGGTTCTGAAAGAAAACAACTTCCAACCCAGAGTGATGTACCTTGAAAAATTAGCTATCAAATTTAATCCAGAGATAAGATGGCATGACAAAGAACAACTGAAGAAATTCATGACTACCAAACCAACCATACGAAGAGTACTGACAGATAATCTAGAGACAAAAATGACCACAACTTGAAGAACAACAATAGAAAAGAACCACCAAGCAGAGCAAGCAATTAAACACAGGGAAAAAGTAGAGGACCTACAGCAGGAAAATAACATGACAAAGATAAACCAATACATATTAACTATGATTATCAATGTAAATGACCTCAACTCACCAAACGAAATCAGACTGGCAGAACGGAAAACTTTCAGCAACATGCTATATACAAGAAACTCATTTAGGGCTAGGGAGATGGTTCAGTGGAATAAACGCTTCCTTGGCAAGCGCAAGGGACTGAGTTCAATCCCCGGTTCAGCAAAAAAAAAAAAAAAAGAAAGAAACTCATTTAATTCAAAGGGAAATTCACAGGCTGAAAGTAAAAGGATGGAAAACAATATTCCATGCAGAAGAACTCAGAAAAAAGCAGGGGTAGCTATTCTGTTCACAGGCAATGTAAACTTAAGCATTAGCAAAAGAGATAAAGAAGGTTACTACATACTTGTTAGGGGAAAATGAGAGGAAGAGAAAACAGTCATAAATACATATGCACCCAGTGTAGGAGCACCCCAGTACACAAGACTAATTTTGACATAAAAAGTCAAATGAACAATAACACAATTGCAATGGGGACTTTAATACCCCATTTCACAAGAAGATAAATCAACTAGGCAAAAAATCAGCAAGGAAATAATAGAACTAAGCCAAATTTGTGAAGAAATGGACTCAGTAGACCTTTACAGAGTATTTCACACAACGTAAGAATACATATTCTTCTCAGTTGCATATAGGATGTTAATCCATATACTAACACACAGCATACTTAAGTAAATGCAAAAGAACTGAAATTACTCCATGCAGATTATGTGATCATAGTGCAAAGGAACTGGAAATTATTGACAAAAGAAACTGCAAAAATTCCATAAGCACATGGAAATTAAAAAACAGCCTCCTGAACAATCAGTGGGACACAGATGAAATTAAAGAAAACATTAAACATATTTACAAGCCAAAGCACAGATACAGAGGGATTTTTTTTTTTTTTAATTTTTAAAATTTTTTTTGACTGGCTAAGGCTTCCATAAGGGTGGGTCTGGTAAGGCACGTGGAGCTGGGAATCAAACTGCGGTATCCTGTTCCTGACTGTGTTTGCATGAGCAGGCACTTAAACAGCGGAGCTAACTGGCAGGCAAAAAAAAAAAAAAAAAAAAGTACAGATACAACTTACCAGAACCTGTGGGATGCAAAAAAAAAGCAGTCTTAAGAGGGAAATTTAGTGGTAAATTCTCATATCAAGAAAACAGAACAAGCCCAAATAAACAACCTTATGCTGACCTCAAGCTCCTAGAAAAAAAAAGAGCAAGTCAAGTCCAAAGCCCAAAGGCAGGAAATTATAAAGATCAGAGCAGATTTGTATGCAATGAAGACAAAGAAAACAATATGAAGAATTAATGAATCAAGGAGTTAGTTCTTTGTGGTGGTTTTTTTTTTTTTTTTTTTTTTTGGTGGTACTGGGGATTGAACTCAGGACCCTGCACTTGTCAGGGAAGCACTTATTCTACTATCTCCCCGGCCCCTAGTTCTTTGGAAGAATAAATAAAATTGATAAACCCACAGCCACCTGATTTAAAAAAAAAAAAAAAGACAGAAAAAATTCAAATTCATACAATAAGGAACGAAATAGGCAAATTCACTACAGATCCTACAGAAAATTCAGATCATCAATACCCAATTCCAAAGTCTTGACTCTCACAGGATGAAAAACACAGAAGAAATGTACAGATTCCTACATACATATGAATTACCAAAGCTGAATGAAAAAGGTATAGAAAGTCTGAATAATCCGTTATCAGTAAATAAAATCGCAAATGTAATAAAAAAAAAAAACCTACCAACAACAACAAAAACTCCAGGTCCTGGTGTATTCACAGCTGACTTCTACAAAAAATTTAAAGAAGATTTAATGCTAACTCTTCTCAACCTCTTCAATAAAACTGAAACAGAAACAATTCTCCCAAACTCATCCCTGGAGGCAAGTATTACTCTGATATCAAAACAGGGGAAAGACCTAACCAAAAAAGAGAACTATAGGCCTATCTCCCAATGAACATAGATGCAAAGATCCTCAATAAAATACTAGTAAACAGAATGCAGCAAATCATCAAGAAGTGTATATATCACGACCAAATGGGACTCATCCCAGGAATGTAGGGATGGTTCAAAATACACAAATATATAAATATAATATACCACCTCAAGTCAAAGACAAAAAAAAATCACATGATCATTTCAATAGATGCAGAAAAAGCTTTTGACAAAGTCTAACTCTTATTCATGATAAAAACCCTACAGAAAATCAAAATAGATGGTCTTTACCTCAACCTGATAAAAGCTATCTATCACAAATCAACAGCCAATACCATATTAAATGGAAAAAATTGAAAGCTTTCTCTTTAAAATCAGGAACAAGATAGAGATATCTGTTACCACTCCTATTCAACATAGTTCTGGAAACATTAACTAGAGCAATTAGATAAGAGAGAGAAATAAAAGGAATAATTACTGGAAAGGAAGAAGTGAAATTATCATTACTTGCAGGTGAAATAATATTCTACATAGAAGACCCCAAAACTAACCAAGAGATGTGTAGATTTAATAACCAAATTGAGTAGTGTAGCAAGATACAAAGACGACACTCAAAAATCAATAGCATTTTTGTACACAACGAACACACTGAGAGAGAAATCACGTAAACCATAACTTTCACAATAACATCCCCCCAAAATGAAATACCTAGGAATCAATCTCACAAATAAAGTAAAAGATTTATACAGTGAAAATTACAGTACTGTGAGAAAATAGGGGGGGGGCCGGGGAGATGGCTCAGTGGAATAAGCACTTCTCTGGCAAGTGCAAGGGCCTGAGTTCAATCCCCGGTTCCGCAAAAAAAAAAAGAAAGAAAGAAAGAAAGAAAGAAAGAAGAAAAGAAGGAAGTGATAGATCAAAGAGGATGTCAGAAAATGGAAGAATATTCTTTGCTCCTGGACAGAAAGAAGCCACATTGTGAAAATAGCCATATTCCCAAAATTGTTATACAGTATGATTTAAAGCAACCCTGATTAAAATACCATTAGTATACTTTAGAGATCTAGAGAAAACATTCCTAGAATTTGAACCAGAAGAGACAGAACAGCAAAAGTAACCTTGGACAACAAAGGAAAGGCAGGAAGCACTACAATTCTGACCTGAAATTATACTACAAAGCTACTGTGATAAAATCTGGCAAAAAACAGACCTGAGAATCAATGGAACAGATTAGAAGATACAGACACAACTACAAACACAGTTATTTTATTGTTTGACAAAAGGGTCAATCATGTTCACTGGAAGAAAGATTGC